AATGTGCGCTGTCGCTGGTAGTTTACTAATACCAAGCCTGCAAACTAAACTGACTGTCTCAGTGGAATGTGGAATTTTTTTCTCTGATTGCTCTTCCTTTTTATATTAACATTAAAATGACAATTCGTTGCTGTCTGCGTCATAGACGCCTTCGCCCATGCCGATTTACTTTTCAGAGCTGTCTGTCATTCATGTGATCTACTAGCTTGAAGCCTGAGCTAATACATCGATAAGTGGTACTTTTAGCACCCAATTGTAATTTAGCTTATCACGTTCGGTTACCGCTCTACTGCACCGCTACCCGCTCTCTACTCTGGTAACAGGAGAAAAATTGTGTCATTAACATACATACGTATGTATGTATGTAAGTGTGTAATTAGTTCTACGGCATGTAAAGCGTCTCCAAATAAGTAGGGCTGACGTGTTTTCAAATATTTTTGAGTAGTGATCGCTTCACAATACATACTAACCCCAACTTTTGTGTAATTTTATATTTGATAAGCTTTCGCTTTTGCTACTTCCTTATGGAGCGTGAGTACCTCAACGCTAAAGATGAGTAACAGCTAATTAAAATTTAAAATTGTAACACAAATTAAAAGATAAGTAAAATTCTAACGCGGCCTTTTATTACTCATTTTAATTTGCACCTTGGTTGTTTGTGTGAAAAATCTGCGACATCATTAATATGACCGCCTCGAGATTTCTCGATAAATAAGTAAGGTTAGAAATTAAAATTTAATTTCATTTCATTTTGTCGAGACGTCTTTTGATAATCCCTTCGGGAATAGTTTAGGGCTTTTTCAGGTCATTTCGTGGCTAGTTTAGAACTACCCCGAAATGATCTCGAACTAGTCCTGAAATCGTTCTGCAAAAGTCGTTAACTTGCGTCAAATGCTGAAGCGGCCCGAAATCGCCGCTTACTTGTCGCGTAATGTGCTAGAAATAGCACTAAAATAGTCCCGAAATTATCTAGAATTGGTCCCAAAGTGGTGCTAAACTAAATGCTCCTAACTAGGCCCAGAACTAGTCTGGAAATATTAATTTGTACACACAAGGAGCAGTTACAGACTGTCTGCTGGGTTACACAAGAAGCAGTTACAAATCTTAGGCTGGGTTATCGTAAATTTTACCCATACCTAGTCCTAAGGTGTTTACACATCATCCGTGTATCGGTATCGAATGGGGGAATCCTTAGCTACCGGGGAAAAATTAATTTTGTTTTACTGATGATGATTGCTCGATTTGGGTAACCGGAAATCGCAGTGACTTTTTCACCATCTCTGAAAAAATTAGTCATTCAGACGAATGCATTGAAGGTTTGCCTTTGACAGCGCACACAACGGCAATTGTCAATAAAGTATAGAGCTGCAAAAATGACCTCAAATTGCTCGTCGGCAGCGCTTGGAGCAAAGTAAAAAAAAAAAACGTTGTTGGCAACATACAAGGAAATATGCCTACCGCAATATGCCTACGCAACAGTTTGGACTTGGGACAAAAACGGTATGCCTTCTGATATGGCCGGTATCTATACATAACATACATAACGAGACCTCAATGCTCTCAGTGAAGAAGTACAATTTCATGCTAAGACCTCCAGGGCACGTCAGAACGCACGAACGAATCGCAGCTTTACATCGCTCAACCGCTGGACCTCACATTGTGGCGACAAGCCACTGACAATCACCATCTTTATAAACTCTCACCCCTTGAGTGCCGTCATCGGAGTTCAGCAGACTTAACTTCGATTTATCCAGACTCAATCCCGACGTGCGCAACCTTTGTCCAGTGAAATGAAACGAACCTCCACTTAACTTTACAGTTTAATCCCACTCAGCTAATACCCCGGTATACCAAACACACCGTCGAAACAGCACTTTATTGGAATTACGTTGATGTTGTCTCGACCGTTTGTCATCTTCTTTTTACCGCTTTCTCCTGGTTTCCCTCAGACTTTTAGAGACGCTTTTCTCAATCTTCTTAATGAAGGCGGAATCTCAATCGTTTTGTTAGCCAACTTCAAGTCCTGCTCGGAAGGCGATATATGTATTAACCTCAAGAGCACATCATCTGTAAGAGTATCTTCTGTTGCTCCGCTGCCTACGGAGTTGAGGTCTTTGCCGTGAGTAAAAAACAAGCACTGCAACAGCTGGAGCTTGCAACCGCCCTAGATTTCAGACCTGGAGCGTCGGTGTTCATTTAAACGACATGACCAAAGCCAGCGGAGCAGTTGTATTTTAATTCACTACACTTTGTCCATGTCCACTTCCAGTGAAAAAGAGAGACAAAGCCTCGGATAAGACTCTTCCTCCCCTTTGTACGAGCTATATAATAAATACAGATAATAAAAACGTTCTGCGTTGTTATTGCGTTCTTAATATATTTTCTGCTTCATATTGCTAGATTTTTCTTTGAACCAAGCTACTAACGGGTTAAAAAGTTGAGTTAATAACCTTACCAACAAATCGGTTTAGAAATAACAATTTAACAGCGAAAAAAGAAGAAAAACTCGTAATTGTTTTCTGCATAAAATATTGCAAATACGTGACTCAATGATTTTGGTAAAATGTTTATCAGACGGTTGAAACAACATCGATTGTTATTTTAACAAAGATGCTTAAACTGGTTTATGTTCACTACTTTTAGGTAGGTAAATGTTACGAAAAGAAAATGAGTTGCCAAAGAAACATTAAACCATTTCTAGTGTTAGCAAAAGTAGATCAATCGCAGTAGATATCGCACACCGTCTTCAAAAGAGTCACAACTAAAAATTTGGCATTTTTGAGATTATGTGCTAAAAATGTACGCAGAGCTATGTTTTTACCTTTCAGCAAAAGCTGGAGCAAATTTTTCTTATTATTTTGTTAAAAAAAACCCTACGGTAAAGTCGCCCTTGCCCTTATGATTATCATGTGCTAAGAAATAGTTTTTCGCATTTTCCGACAAACGTATTATTTTGAGTTGTGACTCTTTTGAAGACGGTGTGCGATATGTTAACATACATACATATGAACATGCATTTAATTTGACAAATTAACAAGCCAGCATACGTTTGAATATATATTACACTACAACAAATCCACCACATGTCTTTTGGTCATGCGATTTATTTTGAAGGGAAATTGCCATCTTACTTTAGTGGATTATTTATCAATGTAATTGTGGCTTATTACTTCTGTTGGATTTTCGTAGCTAAAACTTATTAGTTATATAACTTCATACTTACTTCGATTAGCGCTTCTTTCTAACATAAATTTAATGAGAATACATTTTTTATTAAACCCGATTAAATAAAGCGCTGTTATAAATACTGAAAGAGTATTGAACTCGTGCCGGCCGGCCACATTTCCACTTATGTATGTGTTTCTATTCCTCCTAAATTATCTGGTCATACGATAAGTATGATTGCAATTAAGTAAGTCAACCAATGGAATGTGCTAATTAAAGACGATCGTTCTGATAATTGAGTGGGTCATGTTATGCGCTAAAATTAGCGCTTTCTTCACTATTTGACTCACAATTCGCGTGGCAATCATTCATTTACCGATGTAGTGCAGATTTTAACATAGCAACATTGCGATCCACGCCTTAAAGAAATCGCACAAAATAAGCTGCAAGGCTATTATCGGATAACAGTTAAGCAATCCATTTAAAAAATTGGGTACCAAAGAGTTTTAAATGGATTGAGTTAGGCTCTTGCTTGTGTAATTGATTAGCGACGACTATAGTGTCTAAAGGTGCTAAGGGAGCCATGTGAGCGAGACGACTGCCTGTAATTTTTTTTTATTATTGAATCATGATTGGGGAGTTTAGAGAGAAAGCATATAAAAAAATATATGAATAAAACAGTAATCAGCAACCTAAAACAGCTGCAGATCTTTAGCTGATGTTCTTGTAAAGTAAAAATTCCTTAATATCTTCAGCTTCAGACGTTTAAAGCAGTCAGACTATATACCGTCCATTTTACTGTGTTCTTGTTATTCTCAACACATCGGTGCCAAAAGCCTCATACCTAACCTTTGCAAAAGCGATCAGAAACATAAAAAGAGTTCTGCCGTAACATCCTCTTCAAGGCAGGAAGGGCAAATGGTATGGGTATGTCAATCACTTTCAAGTGTTTGTGCCACGAGAAAGTAACCTGCCAGCAATCCTATAAGTTGTCTGCAGTCCCATCTGCTCAATCAAATGAAATGTCCTCGAAGCCTACCAGTCATTGCTGAGCGAAATATTCATTCAGTTTCTGACGGTAGCCGAGCGTGGGAGCGTTTTTGCTTGTTAAACTACGTGTCAGTCAGTGGCGGACCCACGGGGGTTGTTTTAATATGGTGCATATGTATGTATAATATGGCGTCTATTTATTAAAACACCCCCCGCTGGATCCACCACTGCCTTGAGTGTAACTTGGTCGGCACTATAAACACACCTCTCCGCTTATTTTCCACAACGTAGTCCATGGCCATGACCAAGACTTCAGATCCTGCCCATTCGTGCAAGGCCGAGTTCAGTATTGGGGTAAACCCAGCACTCGGCCTCAGGAAACTCAAAATTGTAGTATCTTCTCAGCAAAAGCAAAGGTGTCGTATCATCCTGTGTCATTGAAATGGCATTCACGTCTAGATTTCTGCCTCTAGCAATTCCCGCCTCTTTTGACACTTACTCTAATACTTACCCACCAGATCTCAGTTTTTCTCACACTATTATCTGTAAATTTGAGCTCACGAAAAGTCATTCAACTTTTGCTAAATATTTTTTTTATTATTTCAGTAGAACTATTTAGAAAAAAATTATATTTTGTGAATGGTTGCATGTGTCACCGAAAAATGTAAAAAGGCGACCCCTAGGTCCGGCGGAAAAAAATTGCCTTGCGAAAATTCTTTAGAATGAGGGATGAACTTTTTTGTTTGCTTTTATGGTGGTTCGGTCTAATGTACATACATAAATTAAGTTTTATGTTTGATATATGTATATTTTTTAAAACAATTTTTTTCTCCAATTCTTTTCAGGTGTTTTAACGGACATACAAGATGATTTTAAAATCGGTGATGATGATGGCGGTCTGCTACAAACCGCCTTTGTACTCTCCTATATGATTTGTGCGCCGGTTTTCGGCTATCTCGGTGATCGTTATTCGCGTCGTTGGATTATGGCCATTGGTGTTTTGTTATGGTCGACAACAACATTACTCGGCTCATTTATGGGTAGCTTTGGCGGTTTTATCACATTCCGTGCTTTGGTGGGCATTGGTGAAGCCTCTTATAGTACCATAGCACCAACAATTATATCAGATTTATTTGTACATGATTTACGTTCGAAAATGTTGGCATTATTCTACTTTGCGATCCCTGTGGGTTCCGGATTTGGGTAAGTCTAAATATTAGAAAAAAATAAATTATATTGAAGCTCGGCTAGACACTTAAAAAATGTGGGAGCGTAAATAATATAATTATGTCAAGAATGATAGAATACAATATTGCGCCTATAAGAGAGGATTTTTGAGAATAACTTTTGAGTGACGTCACACTGGTGCAATTGCGAGAGAGAAATGCCAAAACGTGAGCAAGAATGGAAGAAGAAGAAAAAATGTTGCAAGGAAAACGTAAACAAGTTGCACAAGTGTGACGTCATATACAAACAATGATTCTGTCAAATTCACTGAGATAGGAATAGCGGTACTGTGATTGGCGCAACCTCTATTTCTCTCAATCGTGGAATTATGTTACATACATGCATATGCACATTAGGGCGGGTCATTTTCATAATTCTTTTACTGGGGTATACGTGCATAGTCAAAAAAATCTCCCATACAAATTGACCCGTCTTAACATACATAAATACATACATAAAGCTCTGTAATTATATCGCTATTATAATAATTTATTACTAGATCTTTACTTGATTCTGCCAAAATAGGTTTACTCGTACTGCAATTACACTGTAGCATATATTTTTATAAAAATGTATACAGAAGTTTGATAAGACATTTATTATTAGTGTGAAGAGAATATACATATGTATGTATGTATGTATGTAAATTCCGCCACTTATAAAACCTAGATTCATACGTAAATACATACATAAATACGGGCATATGTACGCCTTTATTAATGTTGAGTCATTCACCTCTATGCTGACATTCCAATTTAAAATGTAAATGTCTTCATCGCGTGATTTTTAGCACCGTTGTGCAATAGAAATAATTTTTGAATATTGTTTACTAATCATAAAGGCCTTTCGTACAAGCGACAGGTCGCATGCTTTCACATGCATTTTTAAATATGGCAATAAGAGACAATTGAAACCATGGCAGTTCAAAGGGGCGTTGCCTGTTTTCAATTGAATTAAATTTTTGGAATTATTTACGGCATTTATAGTCAATTACTTACTAGTATAAATGGTGGCGGAATTCCTTTGAAGTGTAAAAATATATGTACATATGTATGTACATATATTCAATGCATTGCACTGCAACACTGCATATCTGTGAATGTGAATTTCTTATGGAAGAAAATGCAAAGAAAATTAAAAAAAATCAACGCCAGTTTTTATAAATTGCACTTGTTATATAAAAAAAAAAAAAAACGCAAAATCCGTCAGCAAAAAAAGTTAAAAATAGATTTTTTTCATCCGATATATGGAAGAAAATGTGAAACACCCTTGACAAAAAAAAATTAAACACCCACGGCAATTTTTAGAGACTTGAAGCTTGTACCTTATTGTACTAAAATTTAATGGGCTAAAAAACTACATACTCGATTTCTAAGAAATCAAATTAAAAAGTTGAAAATTTTGATGAACATTTTTTGGTATTTCTTGAATTTTCCCGGGTTCTACATATGTATGAGTAGTCCACTAGCAAACAGTGTTATATGATTTTATACAGTAACTTTTACATAGCTAGCTTTTTTAGCTTTTCGCGTTCTCTCTTCCATGAAGATTGGTCCGCGTCTTTTTTACGACGCCTTCCACTAGGCTCCGAAACTACTGAGACTTTTGAAAGTGTATAAATTCATATATAAGTATTATAGCGACTTTTGCAAGAGTAGTTAACATTTGATGCTATTTTTTTCACAATATAAAAATATTTTGCACTGTATTGTTAGTGGACATGAAACTACTTTAAATACTGATACGTTACCCACCAAAAACTAAAAATCGAAAATATTTTACATAGCGCACTTTTTCAGTGGACTACTCATATATGAAATTGAAAAAATTGATTCTGCTGGTTTTGGCTGTGGAATAATGAACTATATTTTTATAAAAAAAAAATATTGTTATGGAAAATATAAATAAAGAAAATCGTCAAAACGTTAGGGTATTCATATCTTGGTGTTGGCTGTATATTAGTGTAGATTTGCTTTGTAGCACCATCTTGCTATTCTTTAAATAAAAAATAGATATCAGAAATGCATTTTTCGTATCAAAAAATTCCCAAGCACAGGTTTTTATTAAAAAAAAAAGAAACATTCATAACACTTAAGTAAATATTAATTCTAAATTTCGCAGACTCGAAATTGACTTTAGAGCTATGGTCTAAAGAACTCTTTTTCTTAGAATTTATGTAGAATCCGAAACTGCTAGGAACGATGTCGAAAAAAAATTACCCGCCCTAATGTACATATGAAGGGGTTAGAATCATAAGGGTCTAAGTGACATTTTTTGAAAATATAAGTTATACCCATATTTGTATAGTTAAATATAGTGTTTATGTGGTGACAAAGAGTAACATTAATTTAAATTAGTGCATTCATTTAGGCAAGAATCATTTCAAATGCATTTACCCAGAATTTACAATAAGTAATGAACTTTAACCTTAATTATCTAAAAAAAAAAAACTATTTAGATCCTTTTAATTCTAACCCCTTCATATATTGTTCACATAAAAAATGCCCGCAACTTTTTTAGGGAACGCTTTTTTTCAATTGGAGGTTAAAAAGCTGTTATGGTGGTTGTAAAAGTATTTGCCTTTACGTATATGCTGTTCTGAAGTTATTGTCCAAAATTCTTTTCGAAACTAAAAGTAGATTTTAATGTACGCACTTCCTTTATTAGTACCACCAGCTGTCAATTAATTTTATTGAAAATGCTCTCGCACAACCTTTTATATAAACCATTGTAGATTTCTATGTTTTTTGCAAATTCCCATGTTCATTAACGCTAAGTACAATTTCTTTTCCTGATAAACATACGTCGTAGCCTTCTAAGTTGCACACTCTCAAAAAGGTCAATTAATGTCAGAAAATCTTTTATGGACTTTGTCAATTCCAATCTACATAAATCAATTTCAAAATTTTCTACATACATACATACATAGCAATCCCCCATAAATATGCATACTTTTGTTTTCAGTTACTGTTAGCTGGTTTAATTTAAAGAAATCTATAAATTCATCAATTACCATTACTCAATTTCATGAAATATTCTTTTTCCATGCCAGGTCATACTCATTACAAATGCATAATTTATTATTTATCTATGTACATATGTATGTCAATATGTGTGTGCATTTGCGCCCAACTCATAAAAAGTCATAAGCTCATCCCTTATTACAAGTACGACTCATTGTTTCTGTTTTAATTAAAGCCTATTGCGTTAATGTTGTTTAATTAAATACAAGTATCTATATTGCATAAATATCAGAGCGCATTTACATGCGTCCATTTATGCATAAGTACATGTTCATTTAATTAACTATAATTTGTTATTGATGGCGTTTGCGCTAATTAACTAGTTAGGTCAATAAACATTTATGTACACTGTATTGCATTACTTTAGCTTGGCAGGGCCGGTTTTAGGGCGGACGAGCGGAGTGGCCGCCCTGGGCGTCAAATTCGGGATGGGGGCGCAAAATTTTGAGGTGGCGTTTAATTTTTTTATTGCATAAAATTTTGAAATGTCAAAATCTAAAATTACCTTCGGACTTACGCGGTTTATATATATATATCTAGTCAGTAAACAAAATTCAGAAAATTTATACTCGCAGCAAGACCATATATTAGACATGCCCACGCCATAAAACATTAGAGTTGGCCAACAAATACAAACAAAATAATCAAGCCCGCGAGAGGGTTGGTTATGAAATTGCAGTTTGTGTTTGTAGTAGGTTTATGTTTTTTTTTAATTTTCGCTATCCCACTTCGAAGTAGACCAAATCATCAGCGAATTTCAAACAACTTGCTGAAAATTTTGGAACTGACTCGTTGTTTGACAACTCATCTCGCAAAAGAAGAATGTGTTCATTTACGAAATTTAAGATAAGTCGATTTAGCAAGTGCCCCCAGATTGTTGTTGTAGACGTTTTTTCTTTTTAAATTTATGGCTTACTATTATAAAATCACATAACGCTGTTTGCAAGTGGACTACTCATTTTGTTGACTTTGCTAGTAGTGATGTACTGCGTCGATAGCTTTATGTATTGATCGATACTCGGCACCGATTTAAAAAGTATCCAATACCTTCGGTAGTGGGTACCGAAATATTTAGGCTTCCAATTAAAACGAATATAGACTAAAAATAAAAACGGTTCAGGGAAGCCTAGCCTATCAAAAGCCGAGTTTAGCGTTACTAAAGCTTTTAATGCTGTTTTAAATGAAAAATATATATACATTTTCCGTCGCCACAATACAAGAAACTCTTCCTACGAAGGTGGCGAAGTGATACAGTGCTATTTTATGGCACGACGGCAATATTTTCGATATGTGGTTTCCTCATTGTTCTGTACAAATTGTTCAACTTCTGGGAAAGCATCGTCTTATTCGTGCTAATTGTGAAGTATATCCATAGACGAAATAAAGTCGATGCACCTCGTTCCATTTACGCCCCAGGCGTCGTGGCTTCTAAGGCCGGCCCTGTAGCTTGGAATTACTAGATGCGAATCAACTTAAAAAATTAACACTCTGAAGCCTTCTGTCTAATAAGATTAATTAAGAATTCACCCATAGAATTTCAATAAACATAATATCGCACACCTAGGTCTAAAGTGCGATCAACTCAAAGAAATGTTTGCACAATTTTTTTTTTTTTTGCATAAATCAATTCATAGGGCTTACATCCAATTAATGGAAATATTATTTTCTTGATGATTATATACATTAACTAAAAACTACTGTTATACCTGTTTTTGTATTAATTGCGTTGAATCTGTGAGATCCACAAGCAATTAAATCTCCCTCTCTTGTGTTAAATAGCTCACTTTAGATCTAGGTGTGCGATATGTAAATGTTTTGAACCATTAAATGGTAGGTAATTTGAACACTAGTCTATAACTTTTATTTACATACGTTATATAAAAGGGCATACTATACCGTGTTGAATGACATTAAAAGTGCATGCCAGTTTTTTGGTTGGTGATAATATCCCTC